TCACGTGGTGTGGGCTCCCTTCACTGGTAGGCAGCAGCTTTACCCAGGCTCTTACAGACTTGCCCTCATCCAGTTATGACCTGGACTCAGGCCAGAACTGTTCAGTGGAAGTGTGACTGCAGGCTGGGGGTGTAGCTCAGCTGGAAAACACTTGCCAAAGGTGCCCAGGGCCCTCTACACCAACACAGAGATAGTAAGAAAGAAAGCAAGGGAGGAAGAAAAGTAAGTGTGGGGTGGGGGTAAATATAAGGGCAAAAGAGAAACTTACAGCCATGTGTAACTCCTCACAGTCAACCCCACCTTTCCCCTCCCCTCTCCTCTTAGCAGGGCCCATAGTTTAGAAGAAGGCAGAGCACAGCAGCATATGGCTGTAATTCCAGCACGTGGGAGATTTGACATGGAGAACTCGGGAGTTCTGAGGCCAGCCTGGGACAGACACACACAGACACACACACAGCACTATGGGGATGCATTTGGGTGTGGCTTCAAGGAAAAGCAAGTCTCAGTGTGGTAGAGATCAAGAATGGGGTGCTCTTTTCTACAGCCCTTCCTTTTGTGACAAGCAATAACTCAAGGGCCGAGGCTAACATGCACATGGCAGGAGAGCCCATGTTGGTGGCAGCAGGAGGTGGCTAGTTTATGTCACTCAGTCACTCAAGCAGATCACCTTTTTTCTTTTTTCATTGACTGCGGCCCATGGGGTGGTGCCACCCACCCACACGAGGGTAGCCTTTCTCGTTCATCTTCTCAAGACGTGCTCTCTCAGGTCAGTTTTAAATCCAGTCAAACAGACAATGAAGACTAACCACTACGAGTAAGGATTCAGGCACGCACCTGAAATCTTAGAGATGGGCCGTGTGCACGTATGCACATGGTGACAAGAAGTCAGGGTAAGGCCAACAGGAGCTGGCAGCTAGTATTTGGGAGTTTCCCCCAGAGCTATCTCAGCTGTACCACAGTTTGTAGATCAGAACCAAGATGAGAGGTGAGTTTCAAACCAAGAGAATCTCCCAGAGTGACTGTGTCCCTCCCTCCTGCTCCCGGCCTGCCTGCAGGCGGATGTGGCAGCACCTCTGGGGCTGCCTACTGTGCCCTTTCTAATAACTTGCTGAGGCAGAAGAGTGTAGGTGGCACATTAACAGATGAGACAGACGTCCTTTTAACTGCAGAACCAAAAACCCAACACTGAGGAAAATACCCTGGTAGGGAAACTAAGGCTGACAAGGGCACAGCAGGAGAAAAGCCCTGGATGAGTTCAAATTCTCCTCCTCCCTTTTTATAATGCAAAGCTGGGAAATGTAGACACACACGTGAGCTGTCCCTACCTGATGTTGGTCCTTGCTGATTTAAAAGTCGTGGTCTTTTTGAGTAAGCATTTTACTTCTTGGGCCTCAAGGCCAAGCTTCCCTTCAAGGAGAATCTGAAGAGGTCTGACCCAATGTCTTGGTTCTAGAAAAGCTTTGCTTTCTCACCTTTCAGCCTCTATTTTTAAAATTTATTTATTTTGGTTTTTCAAGACAGGGTTTCTCTGTGTAGCTGTGGCTGTCCTGGAGCTCTCTGAAGACCAGGCTGCCTCCTAGTGCTGGGATTAATGGCATGCACCCCACCCCCACCGGGCTCAGCCTCTATTTTTAGGCATTTACTATTCAATGTGCACATACATTCATGCAGACAAGCATGCGCCAAGGCACGTGGTGGGTAGAGGACAATTTTTGGGAAAAGCTGATTCTCTCTTTTCACGATGTGGGTCCTGGGGGACTGAATGACCACTGAGTCATCTTGGTGGACCACTGAATGACATATAACTTAGAATGGTCTCCAGATCATGGCATAGTCAAAGAATGAACTTCAACTCCTGCTCCTCGTCTCCACTTTCCAGTTACGGGGTCACATATGTGTACGACCACATGGCTCACTGTCTAGTGCTCCAATTTCCATCCAAAGGACTGCATCCTCTCTCCTTTCAATAAAGAGTTCCTGCCACGTACCCCTTACTTTTCTCCTGCACTCATTTTGGCCTACCTTTTCCCTTACTTTTCCTGTTGGTAAACATTACCACACTTACCCACTCATGTCCAAGTCTGGATTACAACCTTTCCATTTCTTTCCCCCCCATTTTTGGGAGGGGTGGTTGAGACAGGGTGGCCTCAGACTCGGTTTTCCCTCCTTAGCCCCTCAAGTCCTGAGACTGCAGGCATGGGCCACTGCACTCTGCGTCTCCCACACCTTCTAGTCAGACCAACAACGAAGCCCCAGCTGGGTCACTCAGGTCTAGGTGGCCCCACTACTATCATTACTGTCCATACCCACTGCCCCACTACAGAAGTCTGCAGGGTGCTCCTCTGTCTCCATTCCCCGACCTGCTCATCTATATACAACCTGTTCTCCAAGGGCAGCGTCAACTCCAGTTCACTAAGGTTTGCTGAGTGACTTTCATATGCCTTCTTCATTGCTACAGTCCTACTGCCCTAAACAGGTGCCCTGAACACTAGAAGCTATTTAGTAAACAAGGCTTGGTAGCTCAAAGTGTTTAGTGTGCTTGCAGAGTCCCAGCACCCACAGAATAGCTCCCAACTGCCTGTGACTTCAGCTAATCCCAACTCACACGACACACATAAAACACCTGTAAATGACTCCTAGACATCTACACTGGATTTCCCACCTGTGCCCAAATCTCAATAGTCTGATACTAAAACACACTCCCTTCACAGGCCAGGGCTTTTTGTGGTTGTTTTTAGAAATTTACTGAATGATTTTTGGTTTTTCAAGACAGGGTGTTTGTCTGTGTAGCCCTGGCTGGCCTGAAGCATGCTCTATACACCAGGCTGGCCTTGAACTCAGGGAACAGACCTTTCTTTGTTCTCCTGCATGCTAGATTAGAGGCATGTGCCACCTTGCCTGACTGTAAGGTTTTTATGTGAATGCTCACATGTGTATCTGTGCACCACGTCTTCTGGGTGCCCAAAGAAACCAAAGAGGACTGGATAGCCTGGAACTAGAGTTCCAGTTGTGAGTCTCCATGTCCTGGGAACTGAACCTGAGTCCTCTGAAGAACAGACAGTGCCCTTAACCAACGAGGCATCTCTCTAGGCCACTTGATTTTCTGAGATGGGAGCTCATGTAGTCATGATCTTGAACTTGCTATGTAGCCAAAGATACTCTTGAATTCCTAATCCTCCTTCCTTCCTTTCCTTCCCAAGAGCGGGCATTGCAGGTGTCCCTGCCTGGCCTGGCTCAACTCTTGCGTCTCTAGTCACACTCTCCTATCTTATAAATTCAATGTTATTACACCATGAAAGATTTCATTTCTACAATTTTTCCTTGTATCTATTCCTTCCTTTCAGTTATCATTGTGTCTGCTTCTTAATAGAATAATTATAACAGTCTCCTAATTGATCCTGTCTTCTGTACAGTGGAAGGAGAATCACCTGCCACAAATTGCCCTCTGACCTCCCACACTTGTACTGTGATTTGTGCATGTCAACACGCACACGTGCGTGCACACAGACATACACACAATGTAAAAACGGGCTGGGGGAACCCTTACCTCCTACTGCATTCTTGTACATACCCTCTGTTCCGCTGAAACAGTATTCTCACTGTGCTCTGGACAAGTCTGGTCTTTCTTACCCCAGGTTTCTTCATCTTCCATTGCTGCAGTGTCTTATGCATAACAGCCCAATACTGTTTGAGACCTGCTTGATGAAATTCTACTCATGTTAAATAATTCACATTAAATACATTAAGATTTCCGTTTGCCTTCATCTTTAAGTCCTAATATTTATTATATTTATTGCATATGTGCATGCAATACAGCTCATGTGTACGCACAGAATCACTCGTGGAAATCATGTTTTCTCTTTCCCCATGTGGGACACGGATTGAACTCAGGTTGTCAGGCTTGGCAGCAAGCATCTTTACTGAACCATCTTGGTCCTTCCCTCGATTTTGAGACAGGGTCTTATGTGGCCCGGGCTGGTCATGAACTTGCTGTGTAGCTGAGGCTGGTCTTGCATTCCTAACCCTCCTGTTTCCTGAGTCCTGAGGTTATAGACATGCGCCACTATGTCTGGGCCTTTAACTGGAACGCTCATAGCACTGAAATCTTCCACTGTGCATCATGGGGCTGTCCTGTCTCCTCTTAAGGCTATGACCATGTCTATATCTACTGTAGTTTCTCACACAACGTCCCATACACATGGTATTTCTTAATGGAGCTGGCTTTAACCGCTATAATTCTAATTCTATAATTCTACCTTTCTATGGATCTCTCCTAATTAAATAAAAAAAAATTTTTTTAATGTCTAGTGGTGTAAGATTCCAAATACTAGACGCTGGTGGCTGGGTGAATGAGACTGTGAATATCATCTCTCCCCAAATCCAAATATCAAACTTGGTCCTTGTCCTTAGGGTCATCTAAGGAAGAAAAGCAAGTGGTAAAGGCTATGAAAATAACGAAGAAACAAAGATTCACAAAACAGATATCTGACCCATTACAAATGCTGAGCTTTTTAAGGAGCAGGTTCTCTTCTGAGTAGGAGGTGGCCTGGTACCTGGGCTCTCTCTCAGAGCAAGGAGAGCAGGACCACCCTTATCCTCAGGATCAGAGGAGTGGACGCAGCCCCCAGACCTGGTGCTGCCTAGGCATTCACTAGGGGTGATCTTAAAATGTTTGTTTACTTATAAATGAGATCCACATATGCGGGCGAGGTGGGGCATAATACTATTGCCCAGAGGCTCTGCCAGGTTTTCTTTGTGCTTGGTGAAGGGGTCTGTGAATAGTCACAGGTACAAACTGAGAGCTGAGGAAGCAGGTGGGATTTCTGAGGGAGCCACTGGGAAAAGTGTCCCTTCCTGCCTCTATTCCCTGCCTCACCTGGGAAAACCAGTCAGATGTTCCCTCTCATTTTCAGACTAGTCGTTCCAACCAAACTCTCAAAGGCCCCTCCTTAGTTCTTCCCACATAACCCAAAGGATTTGTAGTCTAGGAAACCAAAGAATTGTTTCATCAATAAATCAATTTATTTAAAAGAATATGTTACAATTAATTACACTAAGTGACATTACCTAACAATCTTAGAGTGGTTAGCTCTAGAGCAGGGGCTGGAGAAACACTGGAGCCAGTGTGGTCTCTGCATTTTCTCTTCACATTTCATAGATCACAAATAAAAATACAAGATACTGCAGTGAAAATACAATTAAGAGTTTCTCTCAAATAAATTAAAAGGATGCATGGCCTGGGAAAAAACTGAAGCCCAGCTCACTGGCTTGAAGGGGGCTGATATCAAGTTGGCACCCATGTTTGTTTAGCAGCTGGCCAGGTGCTCCTACCAGAGTCTTGTTCCTTCCTAGAGCCCAGTTTCCATACACCTCAGTTACTGCTGAACAAGCTGCTGCTGTCTATGTAGAGGGAGCCTGGCAGATGCACTCAGGTTAGATTAAGAGGAAACCACAGTGGGGGCTAAGGAAGCATTCTCCCTCCCACTAGTTCTGCGTATTCGGCCACACTCTCCCTCCTCCAAAACAAAGTTAAAGTAACCCACGGAACTGGCAAAGGAGCGGCCATGTGCTGAGGCCATCCCCAGACAGATTAATGGACAGGAGACAGGGAGACCCTCCAGTCCAGGAGACTTCAGGTCAACTCATATGCATGTAGGTCCCTTTAAGAAAATGGCTTTCTAGGAGCTGGCCCTTTAAGCTGGAAATTCTGAGATGAAAGAGGTGTCCCCTCTTATCGGTGCCCTACTTTGCTGCTCCAAGCATTGGGGTTGGAGCTATAAAAGGGGTAACTCAAAGCTACTGGCCCAGGTAACTAAAGGATAAAACTAAATGGGCCAGGCAAGAGGATGCTGGAATATTTATCTCGTTCCTCCCTGAGAGCTCTGTCCAGGCCTCGGAGCTGCCCTGAGCACTAATGTATCTGTAGCTGTGCTGAGCTTAGGCCTCAGCATGGGGAGGGCAGGAAAATGGGGACCAGGATAAAAATACGAAGAGCAGCAAGCTCAGAGCACTACCCAAACAAAGCTTCCTACAGGGTCAGGCTTCTCAGGGTCCATAAAAATCTTTTGAATTTTTGTCTCACAGAAACTCAACATGGAGGAGACAATGGGAGACCAGGAAGATCCTGCTGGGGTGAAGATGGGGAGGCGGATTCCCTTTCTCCGAGACAAACTGCAAAAGAAGACTGGGAGACAGAAGCCACCCTGGGCAGAAGCCAGGACTACAAAACATAGTGGGGACTGAAGAAAGAAAGTGCAGGGAAAATGAGCAGATGGAGGAGAGTTACACCTAATACTGCTTCATGCAAAAGGGCTGGACGCTGTGGGTCTCTAGCCGTGGAGGCCTCTGCCTTCATGACTGGAGCCCCACTCTGAGCCCTCTGGGTCTCCCCCTTCCCATCTCCTTGCTGCACCTCAAGTTGGCTGCTCCTACACAGATTCTGTTAACAGGCCAACACCTCTGGGGCTCATACTTCGAGACCTCCAAAAAGCCCTGTCTCTTCTCTAGAAGGCTGATGAGTAGACTCCTTCATGCCTCTCTAACTGAGGGAACAGGAACACACTGTTGCTATTTTTACAGTTTGAACAAAGATGACCTCTAAAGTACCTTGAAGTAGAAATCAATGCATCTACTTTTAAGGTACTCAGACTCAGGATTAAAGCCAGAAGGAAGAGTTGATCCTGGATCAAAGCCTTCAGATCAAGTACCACCCTCTCCAACTTTAAACACTCACCATTTTTATATTTTACACTTTGTGGTCCCACATTTGCAGAGAGAAGGAATAGGCTGTCCTAAAAGGTTCACACCTTCCTGGGACAAGTGGCTGCCAGAATAATACAGACAGAAAAGTGGTCTCCTAGTAATCTGCAAAACCAGTATGAAAGCGGTATGAAGCTTTAAACCAAACCCAACACTGCCAACACCACCCAATTCTGGCTGCCTTCTAGCTGTATAAAGCCCAGGATGCCAGCCTATAGAGGCTTCTATTTGGAAGGTAAAGTGGGGAAGCAGGAACTTAAGGTCTGGGAATATTACCCTAGTGCCAGTCCTGGCCTGTGCCCCTAATGTAGTTCTTAGGTCCTAGGACGTCCAAATGCAAGGACAGACAAGGACCTCTTCTACTTCTGAGACAGGGTCTCAAGGAATCAAGGATAACCCTGAACTCAGGATGGGCTTGAACTTCTGACTAAGTGCTGAGATTACAGGTGTGCACCTCCACACCCAGATTTCTGTGGTGCTGGGGTGGGACCCAGGGCTTTGTGCACACTAAGCCAGCACTCTGCCCACTGAGGCCAATTCCAGCCCCAGATGAAGAACTCTTTAAAGAGTGGAGACCAACTGAAATCAAGCATATTTCCACTTTTCCCTGGCCCTGAGCTGGCATGAACAGGGCTATGATTTGGCTGACAGAGACCCAGACTCTAAGTTTACCCAGGTCACTTCCTCTCCACACACTGTTTAAGTCAGTCATGAGGGTGTAAAATAAAGGTGGTTACTAGACAGGAGCGGAGGAGGTGAACCCTTAGAAATATGAGGCACTGCTTCCTTCCTTCCCTCCGTATGTTCCCAATACTGTCCCTGTCGCAGAAGAAAGTTCCCTATGGTGACAGCTCCCTGACACTACCCTCACCGCTGTTTTGGACCAGTTGAAAGGAAGCATATAAAAGGCCCGAAAGAAACAGGAAGGAGATGCAGAATGGACTAGTCAGTCACAATGACTTGGAATGGAGACCATAGGTCTTTAGACTCCCTATAGACCTGCAGTCTAGTTGCTCTTGAGAAACAGCCTTTCTCCTCCTCAGCACCCTCTTGAAGATAAAGACATACATTCCTTGCTCCTCGGACTCTATGGCAAACCAATAGCCAGAAACTGTACTCAACACAAAAAAAGGGGGGAACCAAGCAGGTTGTAAACTTTCTGAGTCCTGCATGAGGAGAGGTATTTTCCCTGTAATTTTTTTTTCCTTTTTAAAGTTTGTTTCAAAATAAAGAGAGCAAGAGAGAGGTCATGAATTCAGTGAAAGGTGTGTAAAAACACAAGCTAAAAAAGGTACTGCCATCAATAGGAAATTTAAAAAGAAATATATATGTATATACGTGCAGGTAATTTGCGTATATATAATTTTTTACATACATACATATATATGTTTGAACAGTGCAAACGGATGGAGTTCATAGTTCCAGTTTTAAAAATATAGTACAGGAGAGTCTGTTGGTGCGAGGCCTGGGGAAACGACAAGGGTGCCTTTGGCGAGTTGGTTGGACTTACTTCTGTCTGATCTCAGTGGACTTCTGGCACTATCAACCTGCTGTTCTCTACCAGCTCAGTTCCAGAGACGTGAAGTTCACAGGGAGTTATTAATATTTAGCTTAGGACTTTGGGATATAACGACCTTTTTTTCTTCTTTTGTGTTAATGGTTACTGTCTGACATGGGAGACAAGAGGGCCAAGAGGATGAGGGCAAGGAGAGGGGATGGGATGAGGAAAGGCTAGGTGGCCACATCCCTCTGCTGTGACCTCGCCATCTGGAAAATATTCTGAAAGGAAAAAAAAAGAAGAGTTATTGAGGAGCAGCGTGGCCTACGATATGGAGACAAGCCTCAGACAGAGCTGGAGCAGCAAGTCTGAGGGACAGCTTGACCAGCTTCCCGTCCAGAACCACAGCCTCCTTGAGCACAGAGAACTCGCTCACTACCACCACCTGGCCCAGTCTTCCTGTTTTACAAGACACAATTCAGATCTAAGGAAGTTGCTTTGCCCAAAATCACTGACCGAAGAAGCAGGAGAAATCCCAGGTGACTTTCAGAGCCCAGTGTTCTTTCTACTATAGCAAGAACATCAACTTCCACATGACTGACTGGACTTTTTGATTTCCTGATTTTCTCTGAGAACTTAAGTAGCTGAGTATTTAGACAGAGTCTTCTAAATTCTGCTCCAGCACGGATGCTATAAACAACAGTGCAATAAATTTCCCCCACATGTATGTTCTTGGTTAGTGAAGAAAGACCCTACTGTGACTTATCCAGGCAGACGGCTAAAACTCAGGGCAGGTGCTCTCCTGGGTCAGGAACAGCATGGAGGGTTATTTGATTAAAACAACAACAACAACAATAAAAATCAAACAAACAGGCAGAAGAGGGTCCATGAAGCCATGAGAGGTGGGAGAGCCTGCAGCCAGTGTCCACCCCTACACAAGGGGAGAAGCAGGGCTTTGTGCATAGCCCATTCACCATCCAGAGGCCAGCCTTGCTGGGAGAATGTCCTGGCTCACATGGGACAATCAGTCTCTAACTAATATTCCTAGAAAGACAGAAATGGAGGTGAGGGTCCCGGTATTTGGTCATGGACCTATAAATTTTAAATAAGAAGATGAGAAAATTAATTCAAGAATTCTTTACAATTACCTCTTTTCTCCACTTGAGCTCGCAGAACACCCTCTCAAAGCATTCATGCATGTAATTGAACTGGAAAAAAAAAAGGAAGCAATACTCAGTGACTTCCCAAGACCACGTCTTTGAACTTCAGTTCTATCACCCCACCTTCCAAACCCACCCAGGACATAAAAAAATCCTGCTGTGAACCATAAACACAGACCTGGCAATCTATTGTTCTCTAGCTCCTCCTAGTGGTGACTATGACATATGGCTGCAAATTTCACAATCCCAGCTGGACTAAACATCAAACTAGTCCTTTTGATCTTATGGCTATCAACAAAGGAATAAAAGCATGTGTTCAGGGCTATAGAAATACTCCAGAGAAACCAGGCTGTGATGGCATTCATCTTTAATCCCAGCACTCATAGATTTGAGCTCAAAGCCAGCCTGGTCTACATTAGCAAGTCCCAGGCCAACCATGGCTTCATAGTGAGATCTTGTCACAAACAAACAAACAAAAAAAACAACAAACAATAACTATAGCAAGACAATGGAGAGAAAGTGTTCTCTGAGATCATAACTTCACTGCTTCCTAGAGCCCCAGATTCATGCGATTTTCCCTTTAGTTCCCACTAGGATTTATTTAAAGTCCACTCTATCCCCCTGTGCCCCCATCTCCCACTCACATATGGTGTGAAGATTTTAACCCATCGAGGCTTCTTCTCTCCTCGTGCATATTCAAAACAGAAGGCCATCCCTTCTTCATCCGTGTCCCATCGCTGCATTTCATCCCATTCAAATGCTATTACCTGGTTCTAGACAGCCAAGAACACCAGAGTAAGGGCTACAGACTAGCTGAGGCAAAGGGATTCTGACAGAGAAACACCAGTGCTTCAGGGAAAGGCTGGGACAAGAGAAACTGAGGCTGGGACGGTGGCTCAGTAGCTAAGTGCTTGCTGGACAAGGTGACCTGAGTTTGAGCCCCAGAACCCGGACAAAGGTGGAAAAAGAGAAAAAGACTCTACAAAGTCATCTTAAAACCTCCACAAATGCACCATGACATGCATGTGTGTGCATGCACACACACAACACGCACACTCACATGCACGCACGCGCACACACACGCACAACACCATACAATAATCAAGATAAATCATTTGGTGTAAGGAGTCAGTGAAATAAGGATCAATATGGATTCACTGATTATCAGCACAGTTTTGATTTCATTTGTTCCACAAAAAGAATCTAAAACACAGAAGTATCACAGAGCTCCTGGCCCAGCCCCAGGGAAACTCCTACCTCCAGTTGTCCTTCTTCAGTGCAGGCATGAAGCTTAAAGTGCGTGATGCTGATGGCTGTGATAACGTGCCCCTTCCTCCTGGAGTCACAGGCACAGTGTGGGAAGATGATTTCATTGTAGCCCTCACAAGTCCTTAGCATGTTGAGGTACTAAATAAACAAAAGTGAAAACCATGTCACACAGACACCGAAGCACAATGCAGAGTTACTGGATGGACAAGAGTATTTCACTAACTACTGAAAGCCCTGGCTTCTGACTCGCATTTGTCCCTGCATCGGGTCAGGCCTCTGTGCACTCCTTTATCCCATTCTCAGCTTCTACTGCACCCTCCTAACACCATCTCTTCACTTAAAGAGACAGGAGAGGCCCTGCTGCCAAGACCACCAGCTTCAGAAAGGAATTCCGGCCGGGAGCCAGTGTGGTCCTCTCCCTCCACTACACTTCAGGCACGGGAATCTAATCTATCTTCACAATTGTTTCTACCCATCTGTGCTAACTAAGTTACACCGATCTTAATGACGGAGAATGAATACTACACAGCTCACACTCATGACATGTTAATAACTAAAACAAGCAACGAGCAAGCCAACCCGTCCTCTTGTCACTTCAGAGAGCCCAGAGTGAGGTTATTTATCAGAAACGGAACAATCAGACCAGATCCCAGACTTTCCTTTCTTCACCACCAGTTAATTCCTAAGTGACTCTGCTGTCACAAGTCTCAAGTATGTAAGTGTGGTAGTTTCAATTGCCAACTCAGCACATTCTAACGCCGACTGAGAAAGGGGCTCCGTGAGGAACTGTCTAGACAGCTGTCCAGGGGCACGTCTGTGGTGGGGGTGGGGTTACTACGTGATTCAGCCTAAACGCGAGTAGTGCAACTGCCGGGCTTTGGTGTTAGACTGTCTGAAGGGAAAGGTGAGCTGAGCATAGGCAGGAGTGTTAGGTGCTGTGCGGGTGTGCTGTGCGGGTGTGCTGTGCGGGTATGCTGGGACAAGCTGTTTCAAGTCCCACAGCCTGAACTACGGACTCAAATAAACCTTCCGCTGCTTGTCAGGGCATTTCATCACAGCAGCACAGATAAAACTAAGACTGCGTGCCTCCTTATACAGCATCTGGCCCAAATATGCAAATACATGATCCTCTCAAGATTAATCCAGAGACGGCTGTGAACGCTGAAGCTCACTTGGCCTTGCTCTCGATCTACTGTTACTCCTGGTCTCTGATTCAACTCACAATTCCAAGGTGAGCAAAAACCAACAGAAGACACATGGATGGAACATAAAAGCGAGTAGACAAAGGGCGATAAAGGAGGAAATAAAAAGATTCATGATCTCTGAGCTGGTGTCCTTTTAAGGGTTGCCTCGGAAATAAGCACACACGCTCACATGAAAGTCACAGGAGACCAGGGCACTGCGGGTGTGTGCAGAGGTCTTCCAAGAGGAATTCCAAGCTGAGAACCAGATGGTGGCCTTCTCTCCTACCAAGAGGTGACACAAGCACAGCAAAGGTCACCAGGCCACCTGCGGTTCTGCCATTCGAGGCTCAGGGTCCAGGGAGAAAGGGATCACATCCTGCCTACCTTTCTGTTTGTTTTATTTGTTTGTTTTTCGAGACAGGTTCTCTGTAGCTTTGGTGCCTGTCCTGAAACTTGCTCTTGTAGACCAGGCTGGCCTCGAACTTACAGAGATCCGCCTGTCTCTGCCTCCTGAGTGCTGGGAGTAAAAGTGTGTGCCACCACCGCCCGGCTTCACCTTGCCTACTTTATATTCTTCTTCAGTAAAGTAAGTGAAAAGATGGGAAATTACAATGAAGAACAGCGGCAGGTGAGTTCAGAAGAGCCTGTTTCCCCTCATCCCCCCACCATCACACTACTCCACCCAGCTCTGCCCTTTTTACTGTCCTTCCTGTACCCATAGACACAGATGTTAGTTGCGGCTCCAGCACTATGAGAAGAAGAGCAAAGCGTGCTACGTACAGGTAAATATGACAAGAGGTAGGTGCTTTGGAATGGGCAGCAACTCTTCTGAGCTATAACCAGTAACAGGCCTGGAGTAGACAGCAGAGAGAGGAGTGACTGGGTCACTGGGCTGGGCTCAGCTCACCTTGCGCTGGAACCCAAACTGCATTATTTCCTAGCTATAGAACCTTAGACAAGTTACTCAGTCCAGGCCATTAGTCTCTTACTCTATAAAGTGGAAAGAATGACAGCACCTATGTCATGATATTATTTGTTAGCATCAAATATAAAATATTTAAGCACAGAATTTAATGCATAATTATTTAATAAATAAATGATAATTAAAAAAATTTGTTTTTGTTTTCTTTTTCAAGACAAATTTCTCTGTGTAGCCCTGGCTGGAACCAGGTTGTCCTTGAACTCAGAGAGATCTGCCTGCCTCTGCCTAACAAGTGCTGGGATTAAAGGCACCACCCAACAGAGTTTCTCTGTGTAGCCATGGCTGTCTTGGAACTCACTCTGTAGGCCAGGCTAGCCTCGAACTCACAAGAAATCTGCCTGCTTTTGCCACCTGAGTGATAGAATTAAAGGTATGGGCCACCACTGCTCAGTAGTTAAAAATCTTTTTAAAAGCTCCATTATTATTAGCCAAAGGACTTAGTCATTTTCACTCTCAAGAATGTCTTAAGAGAGCCGGGCGGTGGTAGCGCACCCCTTTAATCCCAGCACTTGGGAGGCAGAGGCAGGTGGATCTCCATGAGTTCGAGACCAGCCTGGTCTACAAGAGCTAGTTCCAGGCCAGGCTCCAAAGCTACAGCGAAGCCCTGTCTCAAAAAACAAAAAACAAACAACAACAACAACAAAAAAGAATGTCTTAAGAGCTCAGGGTGTGGCAGTACACCCACTTGGAGTACAAAAAAGAATGGTTATGAAATGACAGATCTGGAAATTACTTTTAAAAACTCTAGGGCAGGGGGCTAGCTAGAGAGATAGCTCAGCATTTAAGAACAGTTGCTGTGCGGGCAGAGACTCCAAGTCTGGTTTCCAGCACCCACACTGCAGGGTTCACAACTGTCTATTAGTCCAGCTCTGAAAGATATGACAACCTCTTCTAGATTCTTTGGGCACTGCATGCACATGGTATACATACAGACAAGCAGACAAACACGCATTAAAAACAAAAAAATCTTCCAGAGTAGGGACTAGGAGATTAGTTCAGTGAAAGAATACTTGCCAAACACGTGTGAAGTCCTGGTTTCAACCTTCAGCATTACGGAGAGGGAAGCAAATAAAAAAACAAAAACTCCAGTACAAGACAGAGCCAAACAAAGCATGCAGGTTATAAGGTGAAGACAGACAACCAGTATAGCAGGTGGTACATGGGTCATCCTTTCAGTTTCTCTATGTGCTTAAAAACTTAGGATAAAATGGTAAAGGAAAAAGAATGCCCTGAACCCAGGCTCCCAACATCCAATCCAATCCATACTCCTAACACTGTCATTAGAAATGCTGACAGGCTCAACACACAGCTATTCTGCTCAAGGGTGCTTCAGAACCTGTAATGCAGGTGGGTGTCGCAGAACCTGAAGATGAGTCCTGTGTGTTCTTTCACACAAAAAAGTCGACACTGGTGCAGGACAATTGTCTATATTCTGTCAATTATGTTTTAAATAAATGCTGATTGGCCAGTAGCCAGGCAGGAAGTATAGGTGGGACAACCAGACAGGAAGTAGAGGTGGGTCTATGAAAACTGGAGAATTCTGGGAAGGAGGAAGCCCATTCTTCTCCAGTCCTGTCCCAACCACAGAAGGAAGATGTGACCTGCCCCACTGAAAAAGGTACCGAGTCATGTGGCTAACATAGATAAGAATAATGGGCTAATATAAGTTATAAGAGTTAATAAGAAGCCTGAGCTAATGGGCCAATCAGTTTATCATTAATACAGACCTCTGTGTGATTTCTTTGAGGCTAAACACCTGTGGGACCTGGTGGGAGGACAGAAAACCTCAGACAACAAATGGCACCCATGTGGACAACCGCATCCACATAAAGTCTGACAGAGCTTTGGAAGTAATTCTAGACAGAAAAGAATAGAGTAAAGCATGGCTTCTTGGTAGAAGCAATTTCTCAGATCTGCTCTGCTTGCTAGAGGCAAGTGCTCTCATTTAAGAGAGGTTTCCTGACTCAGCTTTAGCTGCAAAACCCTGCAGCTCTTTAAGAGGTCCTGCCATGAAACACTTAAATGGTGTTGATAAAAGCTGACCACATGCTTTTTGATTTTCAGCGATAGCAGGAAAAAAGCTGTGTCGTTTTAAAATGCCAGCTTTCTGGGCAGTCCTGCCAGTGCAAACTCTGACTCTTAGAGGCAGGAGGTCCGGCTACAGAGAGAGCATTTGAGTGTTGTTTGTGGACACACTGGTTGCAGCTTGCTTGCTGGCAAGGACCTTGAAACGCCATAGAGTTGGGACAATAAACATGGCTCCAGCCGGCTGGTACCTCTGCCATGAGCCTGGAATCTCATAAAGCTAAGGAATGGGATGGATCCAGCCGTCAAAGCCACAGCTTTAATCCTCTCCATATTGCTTAGCAAATTAAAAATTAAATGTGGTCAGAAAAAAAGAGAGATATACAGTAAAGAGAGAGTCAAAGATGAAGAAAACCTCTAAATGGTTTACAGTGTGTTAAAAATATATGCAGGCTAAAGGTTAAAGTCCTTTAAATAAAAAAGAAAGAGAGTAGTTGGGTGTGGTGGTACACACTTTTAATCCCAACAGTTGGTAGACAGAGGCAGGCAGACCTCTGTGAGTTCAAGGCATGGTGGCACATGCTTTAATCCCAGCGCTTGGGAGGCAGATGCAGAGAGACCTCTGAGAGTTCAAGGACAGCCTGGTCTACAGAGGGAGTTCCAGGACAGTCAAAGATACACAGAGAACCTGTTTCAAGAAGCCAAATATTAAAGGTAAAAATAAAAGAAATAGAGGTTAAAGTAAAGTCACATATAGATGGAAAATACGCAGAGAATCTTGATACTGTATGTTATTATGCTCTCTTTGAATTGTTTGAATGCTGAGGAAGGAGCAACAGCTGCTAAAAGATATTTATTTATAAATGCTGCTAAATTAATCCAAAATAGGTATTTTGAAAATACCTTGACTTCAAAATTGAAGTCAAAAGGTATGTCACTTTGGAGAAGAGATTCTGCTTTTGTTTCCACAGGAAATGAGAGGCTGTGGATTTATTCTGAGTTAATAAAAATCAGGTTTGATCAAGGAAGACCATCTGAGAAATCTCTGGTAGGAACAGATAGCCCAGATGTCTGAGTTATACATTCAGAACAGATTCAAGCCTGAGATGATCAAGACTCACAAGACACTCCAGTCAGGACTTGACCATAATTCTAAATTTTCTTTAGGTCCCCATAAGATTATCATAAAAGTTAATAAGAAGCCTGAGCTAATGGGCCAATCAGTTTATAACTAATGTAGACTTCTGTGTGATTCTTTGGGACCTAACAACTGTGGGAACTGAGCAGGACAGAAACCTCAGACAATACGACATAAAACAAATTCACTGAGAATTGTCTTCTGCTGTCTGACAAATATATCTACATATTCCTAATAGGGCATTTTACTGTACAGATATTTTGTCTTTCAGGTAGAGTCTTATTATGTGGACAGATAGGATAACCTGGAACAGGTTAAATACATCAGGCTAGCCTTAAACTTGTTTCTGTCTCTGTCATGAGTACTAGAATCACAAGCTTGGTCCACCAGACCCAGGTCCTCTGTATAGAGATTTCTTTTCTTTTCTTTTCTTTCCTTTCCTTTTCTTTTTTTTTTTAAGCATCATGCAGATAAAGGCAAAGATTAGGAAAAGCCACCAGAAGAGATATGAACCTCTGTATATTCTGAAAGCTCTATGACATTAAGAAAATATTATTCCTGGGGACTTTCCCACTGGAGAAAGGTCACCTGGGAGTAAAGGACACCATCTCTCCCTTGACTCCACTCCTAACCCCAGCTCTACTCTGACAAGTCACATGATCCTACAAACTATGGTTTGAAAGTGAATGACTTAGACAGGCCCATGGGTTTGAACACTTGGTCCCCAGTTGGCTGTGGAAGGAAGCTGCAGGCAGTAGACCTTGCTGGAAGAAGTGGGTCCCTAAGGGAGGCCTTGACCAGCTGTCTCTCACTCCTGTCACCATGATGGATAGACTGGACCCTCTCTAACTGTAAGCCAGGGTAACTTCCTCCTCCCTTATGTCACTTTTTGTCTAGTATTTGGTCACAATAAGCAAGAAAAGTAACTAGGACACTGGGTAAGGACTACACTCTGAGTGCACTTTGTAAAATGAGGCGAACACTTCATAACCAGTCTGGAATGGACCAGCACAGACAGGATCTCCTCTTCTTGTCCTTGCATTCAACAATGTCACTCCTGAAAGCAAAAGGCCTTCAAGACAGTCCTTATTGGCCTAAATTCTAACGATAATCTGAATGAAAACTAAGGGCACCCGTGTCCTTGACAAGAAGCCAGATACAATCTTACTGGGACCCAGTCTTTGGAGACTCTCGGGTTGGCATTATTTCTTAGGTTCAAGTACACAATCCTAATATTGCTGCATTTGTAGCAAACTTGAAAAGAAGAAACACTGAAACGTTACATGAATTTAAAATTAGAAAAGGTAAATTTTTATTTTCTAACATATTTACAACATATATCTAAAAAACCAAACTTTAAAGCTAGGCATGGTGTCTACATCTCTGATATCAGAACCTGGGAGATGGAAGTGGGAAGATGTTCAAGACCAGCTCTGGCTAGATAGCAAGTGAAACCCCAGCCTGGGAAGGAGACCTCGCCTAAAAACAAAGCAAGCACACAGAATTATTCTGTCCATTCTCTATTCTGAATAGCTAAATATGACCTTGAGTCATTACATATGACTTAGGTGAGCGGACCACTTGAGTGGAAGAGGAAAAGTATAGTAAAGGACATTTTATAAATGTTCAGTAGTTAATAAGAGAGAGGTGTAGTACCTAGCAGAGCAATACAGTTCAGGTGAATGGGTGAAGGGTCCACTGTAAAGAATTCTGTGCTCTCCCAGCTCACTTGTCAAAGATCAAACCAAAGGTCTAATGGAAATATGGAAGAACCCTGAGAGCCAAGTCTCCCCAATCTCGAATTGAGATTCTGAAGCTCTTTAGGCTTCACAATCTTAAGTATGCTTTTTTTCTTTCTTTCCTTTTTTTTTTTTTTTTTTTTGAAACAGGGTTTCTCTGTGTAATAGCCCTAGCTGTCCTGGAACTCGCTCTATGGCCTACAACTCACTGAGATCCACCTGCTTCAGCCTCCTGAGTGCTGGGAGTAAAGGTGTGTGCCACCACTGCCTAGCTTCCAAGAATGCTTTTTAAAATGTATTTTCTACTTTTATTGTATTTATATGCATGTTTTCCTGCATGTATGCTTATATAGCACATGTGTGCCTGGTGCTGTGGGGGGCAGAAGAAGGCATAAGAGCCCCTGCCCTGCAGTTAGGTAGCTATGAGCTGCTGATGTGGGCACTGGAACCTGACCCTCATCCCCTTCAAGAGTAGCCAGGGCTTTCACCACTGAGCCATCTCTCCAACCCCCAGGACAATGGATTTTTGTCTACTCTTTGAAATAAGACCTCAGTAAGTAGTTCTGCCTGGCCTGGAGTGCCTATGCGGCTGGCCGCACACTCACAGTGATCTGCAGGTATGTGCCATCACACGCAGTCCCAGTGCTAGTGTCTTAAACAGTTGTGATTTAAAATATTATTTCATAGACAGAAATATTCCCTTAGCCAAAATCGTGCCAATATTTAATTATAAGATTTTTGATTTTTTATTTTAGCTTGCTTGTATGTATTGGTAAGATGGCTCCTGCATTTCTAGTGACTTTCTATGGAAAAGAGATTATTTTTTATCACGTAAGTGATAAAATAACTATCTTTTCTAGATGTAAGGCTACGAGCTAAGATCAATGCTGACCGTATTTACCTTCTAACTTAATGGTTCTCTGTGTATGTATCTGGGGGTGATGAATGAAGTCAAGACATGATCTATGTGACTAGGCTGATCTCAAACTGAAACTCGTTAGATAGCCCGGTTGGTTCTAAATAACTATCCTTTTGCCTTAGCTTCCCGAGGACTGACATTATAGGTGTACACGATCACACCTGGCCCAATTAAATTAATAAATTAACTTAAATGGATAAGTACACAGAAGATAAAAAATAATTCACGTAATGTATCAGAATCATTACTAATGCACCTACTGCCCTGTGTGACACACAAGGAATACTGTAAAAATTACAGTTATAAGTGATCTGCCAAGAGAGAAATTGATAAATTCATATATTTATAACTATATTATAAATATATTATAACTATAAATTTATAAATGATTGAAATTTTTGTAAGTATTCTTTATATTTTATTTTTATTATTTTTTACCGTTTTTTTAAAAAATGTCCACTGTATTTACAGCAGATACAAAATAAAAACTAATTTTAAAACATTTAAAGAACATGCTAGGTAATACTATCCAACAGAACTTCCTGCAATGCTGAAAATGTGCTATCTATGTACTGTCCAACATGGCAGCCGTAACTATTTAACACTTAAAATGTGGCCAGTATAACCAAAGGAATGAATTTTAAATAATCAAGTTTGGGGACTGGAGAGATAGCACAGTAGTTAAGAGCACTAACTGCTCTTTCAGAGGACCCAGATTCAATTGCAGTACCTACATGGCAGCTCATAGCTGCTTGTAACTCCAGTTCCAGGGGATCTGTCACCTTAACATTAATGCATATAAGATAAATTTAAATATTTTTTTTAAATTTCAAATTTAGATTTAAATAATTACACAAAGCCAGTAGTGTCTAAATCAAATAAAATTCTAGGAAATCATATATCAAAAAAGCTCTACTGAGCATAACTGTCTAAACAAATGGAAAAAATAAGTTGTAAAAGTAATGACTTTGCTAACTCATGACTAAACTAAATGTTAATGTTAAAAACGTAACTGAATGTGGTGGCTTGTTCTTGTAGTCTCACAACGTGGGAGGCTGAAATAGGAAATTCAAGATAAGCTCAAGGCTAACCTGGTCTACTCTGAGAGTCTGAGGTCAGTCTGGGCTGCATACCAAGCTCTAGGCTAATCTGGACTAAGACATGCTCTAGAATAGATAAATACTAAAAGGTTAAAAAAAATTACAAATACTAGGTTCTTACAGAATATTTATATTATAATGTTAAGGATTTTTTTAAAGATTTATTTAACGTGTATGAGTGTTTTGCCTGCATGGATATAAGTATAACTACTGCCCAAGAAGGTCAGAAGAGGCATCAGATTCCCTAGAACTGAAATTACAGACAGTTGTGAGCAGTCATGTGGGTGTTGGAAATCAAACTCAGATCCTCTGCAAGATCAACAAGGACTCTTACTCATGGAGCCAACTCTCCAGCCCATATTGTTTTAGACATCACTCTGGTGCTGTTCCGAGACAGGACTCATATGACCCTCAAACTCACTAGGCAGCTAAGGACAACCTTGTCCTCCCATCCCCACTTCCAGAGTGCTAGGATTACAGAAGTGGATCACTATTCCCAGCTTTGTCTTATGAAATTTCCATACAAAAGAATACTGCTTGGCTATTATTAACAAAATTATGTACCGAATTATAATAATCTAACTTTCTGATGTAATAAACTTTGGGGAGATACAAAGGGATTTTGCATCAAAGTCTATAGGCTTTAATTAATTTATTAAATTATTAATAATAATTTAATTAATTAATTAATTAAGCCTCTGAACAGGTTGTGGTACCTTTCAAAACTGACTAGGACAAGAAGTTTAAGAGGTAATGAGGGTATTTTATGAAAGTATTTGGACACAGACTTACCATGACCATTTTCCTTTGTTCATACAGCTTCTGTAACTGGTAAGACTTTTCCTCTGCTTTAATGTAACCTTTCTTCACATCATCAACAGCCTATCACAAAGCAAAGGCCAAGAAAGAAAATTATGCAGGTGCATTTCCAGAAAAGCTTGCATTCACCTGAAGCCCCACCATCATTGCAGAGTGAATGCCACCACACAGGTGTATTTACTAGAATAACTAGTACCTAAGGAGGGTGCATGTGAGAACTCTCTTGTCAAGAGAGAATACACATTATCTATTAAAGGTAACAATGACACAACCAAGTGTAAGTGTGCAATGTGCAGTCAGAACAGGAGCAGCTGTAACCATAGTTTCGGGGAAGCCAAAGGCAGACGCCCCTGGGCACGCTGAATAAGAAAGCCTCTCAGATGAAGTCAGGAACAGGAATAGGTGTGGCCTAAATACATTTAGGAAATAGATCTGCTGAACTTAAGGCAATGGGGATAAAATACGCATGTTTGTTCTCTCTCTCTCCAAATAGGTGCACACACATGTGTGTATAGATATATTTGCATACATATAAGAGATAAGAGATAGACAGATATGGATCCGTACATGCACACACACACAGAAATGAGGAAGGAATGGAATAGCGGCAATCAAGGATGTTGTAACACTAAGGTACAAATCATTTCTAATAGTTTTACTTCTTTTTTTTCTTGAGAAAGTTTCTCACTCAGGCCTGTTTGGAGTTCACCATGTAGTCTAGACTGATCTTTAACTCATATTTCTCCTGCCTCAGACCTGAGTTCTGGGAATACAGATGTGTGTCACCACACCTGGTTTATCAGAATCTCTGAAAAGAGAATGAGTTCAAGATTAAAGTTAAGAGACTGGATCAACTCCTGGTTCTGTTCCCTATTTTAACTGTGTAAGGGTGTGTTACATTTCTTTATGTTACAAAATAATACTTTACCTATGTAAAGGCGCTTTACACTTGTTTATGCTGCATTTATTTAACTATGTAAAGATGTGTTACATTTGCTTAATTATGTAAAGATGTGTTACCAGTTCACCTTGCCTAATTAATTAGTCTAATAAATAGCCAAACGGCCAATAGCTACGCAGGAGAAAGACAGGTGGGGCTGGCAGAGAAAGAATAAGTAGGAGGATTCTAGGCTGGAGGAGAGAGAAGAGAGAATGAGGGAAACAGGGAGATGCCCCTGGACAGCCAGTCAGTCAGACACAGAGGAAGCAGGAAAGTAGAATAGACAGAATGGAAGCAAGGTAGGAGCCTCAAGGCAAAACATCGATGAAAAGAAACAGATTAAATTAAGCTGTAAGAGCTAGTGGGACAAGTGTAAGCTAAGGCTGAGCATTCATAACTAGTAATAGATCTCCGTGTCTTAATTTGGGAGCTGGTTGGTGGCCCGTTACACCCTGCCAATGTCCACTTCAAGGTCACCAAAGGCAAAGTAGTGGTAGTTACCATAATGGGTAGCCCAGGCAAAATAGTTTTTATGGTGGCATGACTTGAATGAACTAATCAGCCATCGTGTTTCCAGGCTTGAAATAGACAAGAAGTGTGCTGGAGAGATGGCTCAGAGAGTAAGAACACTGCCTGCTCTTCCAAAGGTCCTGAGTTCAATTCCCAGCAACCATATGGTGGCTCACAACCATCTGTAATGAGGTCTGGTGCCCTCTTCTGGCCTGAAGGCATATATGGAGGGAATGCTGTATACATAATAAATGAATGAATGAATGAATGAATGAATGAATGAATGAATTTAAAGAAAAGAAAAAAAGAGAAACAGATAAGAAGCCTACTGCATTTTTGCTCAATTTGTATAAGCAGAAAAATTCTCAAACAAATATAAGAAAGGATACACTGGCAGAAGGAAATCTCAGTCTATGACCCAATTACTGGACTTGAACCAGTTTGCAGACCCAGAACCCCTTGAATGAAGGGGTAGCCTGGTTCCCTTGAGGAAGGAACTTGATAAAATACCTTAAAGGTTTACTGTTAGCCATTCTCCAGTCCTTCTCCAGACAGACATAAGGCCTTTTACAAGGGTAACTGTACACTGGGAGACATTCAGATATTTCAGGGTCTATTAGATACTCATTCTAAATTAACACTGATTCCTGGAGAAAACAAGAACACTGTGGCCCTCCAGTTACAGTAGGGGCTTATGGGGGTCAGGTGATTAATGGAGTTTTGGCTAAAGTCCAACTCACAGTGGGTTCAGTGGGTTTCAGAACGCAGTCTGTGGTTATTTCTTCAGTTCTACATTGCATAATTGGGATAGATAGACGTTGGCAGAATTCCCCATTGGTTCCCTGACCTGTGGAGTAAGAGCTATTATGGTTGGAAAGGCCAAATGAAAGCCTTTGGAATTGTCTACCAGAGAAATGGTGAACCCAAAACAGTATTGAGTACCAGGAGGAATTGCAGAAATTTGTGCCACCATCCAGGACTTGAAAGTTGTAGGGGAGGTGGTTCCTGCATCTCATTTTAACTCCCTTATCTGTTCCGTTCAGAAGGCAGGTGGGTGACGGAGAATGGCAGTTGACTATTGCCAACTCAAGCAAGTGTGACTCTGACTGCAGCTACTGTACCAGATGTGGTGTCTTTATTGAGCAGATTAACACATCTTTTGGAACATGGTATGCAGCTATTGATCAAGCAAATGCCTTTATCTCAGTCCCTGTCCATAAGGACCACCAGAAGTTTGCTTTCAGTAGGCAAAGCCAGTAGTATACCTTTATAGTTTCTCAAAGGTATCTTAACTATCCAGTCCTATGTCATAACTTAGGTTTGACAAGATCTTGATCATCTGTCTCTTCCACAAAATATCACATTGGTGGGCTGGAGATATGGCTCAGTGGTTAAGAGTACTGGCTGTTCTTCTAGAGGTCCTGAGTTCAACTTCCAGTACCCACATCTGGTGTCCCCTTCTGGCCTGCAGACATACGTGCAGGCAGAGAAGTAAATAAATCAGCTGAGTGGTGGTGCTGCACCCTTTTAATCCCAGCACTTGGAAGGCAGAGACCAGCGAATCTCTGTGAGTTTAAGGCCAGCCTGGGTCTACAAGAGCTAGTTCCAGGACAGCCAGGACTGTTACAAATAGAAACCCTGTCTCAAAAAACTTCAAAAAAAAAAATGTGGATGCATATGTGTCTGGGAGAGGGAGGGGGAGATATGCACATGCCTGCAGGTGCTTAAAGAGGCCAATGGTGTCAGACTTCCTGAAGCTGGAGTTACAGGTAGTTGTGAGCTACTTGACATGGGTTCTGGAAATCAAATTCAGGTCCTCTGGAAGAACAGTACATGCTCTTAACCACTGAGCCATCTCTCCAGTCCCCATCTGGTTGGTTTTTTTGAGACAGGATTTGACTATTTAGCCTCGGCCGGCCTGGAACTGTCTCCAGAGTGCTAGGATTAAAGCTGTATGCCACCATGCCTAGCTATGCTCAGCCTTTTCTTTTATTAAAAACAGATTTCTTTAGCTGGGCAGTGGTAGCACACATCTTTAATTCCAGGCTCCAAAGCTACACAGAGAAACCTTGTCTTGAAAAGAAAAATCAAACAAAATAAAGATTTTTTTTTCTCACACAATATATCCTGACTACAGTTTCCCCTTCCTCTACTCCTCCCCTTCCCTCCCCTCTGGGTCCACTTCCTTTCTGTCTCTCATTAGAAAACAAACAGGCTTCTAAGGGATACTAATAAATTACATAAGAAAAACAAAAACTGCTAATACATCGGAATTGGTAAAAACAGAAGGAAAAAAGCCCAAAAAACCTAACTATTGATACACTCAGGAATCCCATAAAAACACTAAACTGGAAGCCATAATATATACACAGAAGACCTGGTGCAGACCCAAGCAGGCCCTGTATATGCTACCTCAGTCTGTGAGTTCATATGCATGTTCACCTTTTTAATGTCAGTGTTAAGGATTAGACTGAAAAGCCACTGCTCTTACCCACCAGCCATGTCCTTAGAGGGGCTGTGCTAATTTTCCCTTGTCTATCTTTCAGTTGGCTATAAAGAGACCCACTGAAGGTCCTAGGGAGAGAGTTCAGTTGCTGTGTGAGCATAGAAAACATACAAATAGCTTAATATAGGACTGGAGAGATGGCTCACTGTTTAGGAGCACTTGCTACTCTTACAGAAGAGCCAGATTTGGTTCCCAGCACCCAAATGGTAACATAACTATCTGTAACATTAAAGCCGGGTGGTGGTGGCACACGCCTTTAATCCCAGCACTCGGGAGGCAGAGGCAGGCGGATCTCTGTGAGTTCAAGGCCAGCCTGGTCTACAAGAGCTAGTTCCAGAACAGGCTCCAAAGCTACAGAGAAACCTTGTCTCAAAAAACTAAATAAACAAAAAGAAAAACAAAAAGAAGAAGCCTGTCTCAAGACAACAACACAGAAAATGACATAGGAAGGAACTTGGTGTGCTGCCTTGACCTCAGCATATTTGTGTACGGGCACTTGAAGCATAGTAACTGTACCACATTTGAGTGTACGTATCACGTACCTCTCTTTCTCACACACACACATACACACACAGAGACCCAAAGACGGAGCTCTGGATTACTTACTTAACATGACCAATTTGCAGGACAGGGAACATGAGAATTCATCTGCCAAAAGGGCAGTGTATTCCCAGCTCTCCCAAGATGGAAGTTCCTATGCTCTAGACCATTTTAAGGCTCATTATACATTACTGTAATTACTGTATTTCTTTCTTTCTTTCTCTCTCTCTCTCTCTCTCTCTCTTTCTTTCTTTTGGTTTTTCAAGATAGGGTTTTTCTGTAGCTTTAGAGCCTGTCCTGGAACTAGCTCTTGTAGACCAGGCTGCCCTCGAACTCACAGAGATCCTCCTGCCTCTGCCTCCCAAGCGCTGGGATTAAAAGTGTGCGCCACCACCGCCTAGTCTTACGTTCTTTAAAATATCCTCTGTAATGAAGTGGTAAGCACTAAGTTACTTGAGCTCTGGGAGCAGTCTAAGCAAACTGTTCAAAGTAGAAGCAGTGTGTGTGGTGGGGGAGGGGTCTAGGGAACCTCAATTTGTAGCCAGGGGTTGAGTAGTTTCAGAGAGTTTGTAACGAGGTCTAAAATGGGGGCTGTTTGAGGACTTTAGCCCTTGATCAGTGAGATTTGATATTTCCAGGAAGACAGTGTCAGAACTAAATTACACTCAATGATGCGTGGGGTGGTATCCACTGAAGAATCACACACTTGCTGGTAGGGAGAAATCCCTATACCCTTTAACATCACAGAAGTCTTTTGTGCTGACTATGATATGAGAATACAGAAGAAAAAAAAAAACCCAGATATTGTGCTTTTCCCAGACACAAAACCCTGAACTCATTTTATCGATTAAAAGCTGTGAACTTTTTAAACACTCCGGCACAGCTCTAGCCTTCATCTCCTAGGAAACAAGACACACTGTATTTTAAATGTCACTCAGACTCAAGGATTCACGCTGAATTGTCAAATTACCAGCTATCTACCAACAGACAAAGGAGGAAGACTTATCACCCACCTGATGAAAGAAGTATGTAACAGCAAGGTCATTGTCATTTAAGAGGACCTCTTCCTCTGTGGTAAAGAGCCACTTGCGGACAGTCAGGCAGGTGCCGGGCACCGCTGACGTGTAATTCTGGACGTAGAGTTTATGAGGAAATTCATTAGGTGCCAGCTTACGTACTGAAGAAGACAAAATAAAGCAAGCTCAAGTAGAGAGATATTGAGAAGCTTCCCAAGGAGCTGCACAAGGAGACTAACATAGTAGCTGCCATTATTTTCAGAGTCAGCCAAAACTCATCAAGAAACTCTACTTCAGGAACACATGATCACTGCATATCCAGCCAAATCTACCCTTCCTAACTAAGACTCTGGCCAGTGAAGCAAATTTCACTGGCTTGAATCTATTGCTTGAATGACAAGTCTTTCAGCTAACATGATTGCAAAGGATGCCAACTCCAAATTCAGTTAAAATGCTTGATCTATGAACTGATCAGTTACAAACATCAAAGTGGACATGCTAAGTCCACCAAACGTCTTCAGAGCAGCCTCTCCTCTTACCTAGTTATTGGGCACCTGGAGTCTCTCCAATGGCCATTTTCAATGTACTGCATTTATTCATGCAGAACGGAAAAGTACTTCTTTCTCATCCATTCCCAAGCCCCAAGGTATTTACATAGTCCAGCCATTCTCTGAGTGGCGTCCGAAGAGCCTGGCTCTTCCCCGTCCCCCCTCCTGGGGCTGGGACCACAGGTGGCATGTTCCACCACCCTCAGTTTACTACTCCTAATCCCTACACTTGCTTGCTAAGTCCTTTCTTGGCTTTCTAACACTGCAAAAGACAGTTCTTGCTATATTTCTCCTTTACAGAGAGTGAGGCTAAAGCTTAGAAAGGATAAAATTAGGATCTAAGCATACTGGCATCTCACCAAATTCTTTATAATACAATTTATATCTGTGTATTAGGCCACTGAGAGGAAGAAAAATAAGAAGATGGCTGCTCCCTTGGAATCAAAGTTGCTGTCTACTGACAAAAGATGATGGATGGACAGTGATCAGAAATCCTATACAAGATCTGCCGAGTCTGCTTGCTGAAAGCAAGTAATGAGTCCTAAAGCTCTTCTTTGGCAAAGCAGTTTCTGTCCAAATTAGAATAAAACACCCCCAAACAAAATACAGTAACAGCATTAACACTTACCAAAGGAATGATTGATCACTTCAAATAAGGCAAAGTAATTCACTGTTGTACTGTCCATGCCAACCTTCGCTGCAATAGCCTGAAGTTTAAACATGAGAGAATTGTTTCAGAAAAAGTAAGTTCAGACAATGCTATGGGGCAGGTATATGCATGAGAAGGGGAAAGGGAAACACTCTGCATCCTGGCTTCATAAAAACTACATGGCCCACAGCTCTCCTTAAGCTGCACAAGTATACAAACACATGAACCCAAATATAGCTGTCCTCTGTGAACATCTGCCTTCCAATACAAGCTGACAATATTTCATCTGTGGTGCCAAAGTTTCTTTTTCAAATATGAATTAATCCCACAAAGGTATTTTTTGAACTTATTTTTACTAATGTGTATGTGTGTGTGTCTGTGTGAATGAATGCCACATATATTTGGATGCCCACAGAAACCAGAAAAGACAATGGATAGCTTAGAACTGAGTTATCTCTCCAGTCCCAACAAAGGTGTTTTATATCACTTAAAAAAGTATACTTGCCAGGTGATGGTGGCGCATACCTCTAATCCCAGCACTTCGGAGGCAGAGGCAGGTGGATCTCTGTGAGTTCAAGGCCAGCCTGGTCTACAAGAGCTAGTTCCAGGATGGGCTCCAAAGCTACAGAGAAACCCTGTCTTGAAAAAACAAAAACAAAAAAAGTATACTCTATAAGACAGATCATAAAATGAAAACAATTTTTTTAATATTTATTTATTTCTTTATTTATTATGTATGCAATAGTCTGTCCGCATGTATGCCTGCAGGCCAGAAGAGGGCACCAGACCCCATTACAGATGGTTGTGAGCCACCATGTGGTTGCTGGGAATTGAACTCAGGACCTTTGGAAGAGCAGGCAATGCTCTTAACCCCTGAGCCATCTCTCCAGCCCCATGAAAACAATTTTTAAAAAATATTTAAAATATTTACTTTACTGTTTGTATGTCTCTGTGTATGGGGATGGGGGAGATGAGCTCATGTGAAAGTCAGAGAATAATGTGCAAGAATCAGTTCTCTTCTAAGGACTAGACTCAGGCTGTCAGGCTTAGAGGAAAAAGACTTGACCCACTGAGTCATCACACCATACCTGATACCTAGTTTCACAGACTTAGCTTACTTTACTACAGGCTGTTAACACACAAGATCTCAACCTTTGATTATTTAATTATTTTTATTTTATTTTATACGTATGAGTGTTTTGCCTGCATGTGTATCTGTGTGACTGGTGCCCATAGAAGCCAGAAGATGTAGAACCACAAAGAATGTAGTCATAGGTGGTTATCAGCAGCCATGTGGATGATGGGAATCAAACCTGGGCCTTTTGGATGAGCAGCCAAAGTGCTGGCTGCTAAGCCATCTCTCCGGATCTGCCAACCTTTGACTCTTACTATTTTGTTTTGGAGATAGGATCTCACAGTGTTAGCTACAATGACCCTGAACTCCTAGATTCAAGGGATTCTCCTGCCTCAGCCTCCTAAGTACTTGGATCTATATATGTGTATTTCTGTGCTTAATTCTTGGCTTTAAAACATTGTCAATTCTATTCAGAATTCACAAATTATTTCTATTTTTCAGATGAACTATGTTATAAACTGGGGACACCTCTTTTTCCTAAGAATTACAATCACCAATATCCATGAAAGTCAGAAAACGTTGACAAGCAGCATATTCACAAGAACCAATCTTCTCTGAAAACTAAGAGCCTAACATGACAAAAGAAAAACTGAAAGATTTCATGTGTAAATAAATCAAAGTGAAATTACATACATGTAATAAAAAAAAAAGCACACAGCAGAAAAGAGTAGTGACAAACAGCTTTTAAGAGCACTTCCCACATAGACAAGGTGCTCACTAAACAGCTAGAAGATGTTGGAAGACTGAACCAAATAAGACTGTATCCCTTCTTCCTGCATCTGCTCACATACCCAGCTTAGCTTCATATTGTGTAAGAACCGGAAATTACAGGTATTCAAAATCAACCTGCTATACTGCACTGATCAAAACTAGAAAACTCTCAACTAGGTTTTACAAAATGGCTTCTACCTACAAGATTCAGTAATATGATGGAGAAGGGAGAATATTAAAAAATACCTTAGGTCCTGGCTAGAGAGATGGTCCAGCAGGTAAGAACACTTGCTGTACTTATAAAGAAGACATGAGTTTAGTTCCCAGTAACCACACTGGAACTCCAGTTCCAGGGTACCCAATGCTCTCTGATGGCCTTTCCAGATAATATTTACACATAATATTTACATACATATTCACAGATATACAAACATATAAAAAATAAACAACAAAATACCCTAAGTTTTTCTAAAAAGAACATTGAAAAGAGTAGAGAACAAGCCAGGTTGTGGTGGCACACGCCTTTAATCCCAGTGCACAGTAGGCAAAGGCAGAGGCAGGTGGATCTCTGTGAGTTCGAGGCCAGCCTGGTCTACATAGTGAGTTCCAGGACAATCAAGGCTGTTACACAGAGAAACCCTGTCTCGAAAAACCAAAAAAAAAAAGAAAAAGAAAAAAAGGTAAAACCAAACTTTTTTCAGTTATTCCAGTACCATAAAATTTCAAAGATGGCTGGAGTCCTACAGTCAATTGCCAAGGTATATTGCAGTAGATTAAATGAAGGATAGATTTTTTGTTTGATATAAAGGAGTGATTTGTATAATCACTGGTAACCGGAAATCTGTCTCCCTGAAAATCTCGATCAAGTTCAGGCAAATAAATGGGCCTGCAAGCAGTGCTGACACCTGACACCCAGACTGTGATCTTGACTGCTATTTCTCACCGGAGAACCAAGACTGGTAGAGCAAGGGCTCATCCTAGATCTAGGCAGGACATGTCTAGATAAGAGACCAAGATATCTTGTTTTAATGAAATCCCCATAAGTTAATGGATGGCACCAAAAGTACATAGGAACAGACATGAAGGAACTTCCTTTGGTCAAACATGCAATCATTTGAGCACTGAAGAGATAGTAACATGCTGTTTATTAAATCACATTTAATTAGAAATTTATCTCTAATTAAAGACAAACCATTAACAATTGTTGCACCAGACAGCACTGGAATCAACTAAGGCATCAATTCTTTACTTTGAAAATTGTCAATAAAAGAAAGAATTAAATTTCTAACATTTCTCTCCCACAAACTGCCTTTCAGACTAAATCAATAGCCTTAATTGATAAGTAGAAGTTACTTACAGAAGAATTCTAGTTACATGAAAAAAATGAGGGAACTGAAAACCAGCACTTTGCAACTTTTGGGGAATTATTGATTAAGGCAACGATTATCAATGGACAATAGAAACTTTGCAGTGAAAAGTCTAGGTAAACTCTCAAGCTACTGACTAAGCACGCTACCACTAGATGGACAACGAGACAAAGAGTGCCTACTGAGAAGCAACACATTGTATTATTACAGCCTAATTACAACATATATACATATTGTATTTTAAAACAAAACAAATAATCAAGCCTCTAGAGTAAATTTCTATTTATAGGAAATACAGGGAACAACAAGGACATGATAAATGACCTAAAAGGAAACAAGCAGATAAATTCGGAATGAGCCAACTTCTGCAAACACACAAAGGCGGGGAAGGGAGACTGCTTTATATTGAGTCAAAATTAAGACCAAATGTGATATAAGGACCTGTTTTCAACCAATTTTTTTTTATTTTGCATGACATTCAATCGTTTATTTCATTTTTCTCTTTTTTTTAAATTGATATTTATTGAGCTCTACATTTTTCTCTGCTCCCCTCCCTGCCTCTCCCCGTCCCCTCTCAATCCTCCCCAAGGTCCCCATGCTCCCAATTTGCTCAGGAGATCTTGTCTTTTTATACTTTCTACTTCCCATGTAGATTAGATCTATGTAAGTCTCTCTTAGTGTCCACACTGTTGTCTAAGTTCTCTGGGATTGTGGTTTGTAGGCTGGTTTTCTTTGCTTTATGTTTAAAAACCACTTATGAGTGAGTACACGTGATAACTATCTTTCTGTGTCTGGGTTACCTCACTCAAAATAATGTTTTCTAGCTCCATCCATTTTCCTGCAAAATTCAAGCTGTCGTTATTTTTTTCTGCTGTATAGTACTCCATGGTGTAAATGTACCACATTTTCCTTACCCAATCTTCAGTCGAGGGGCATTTAGGTTGTTTCCAAGTTCTGGTTATGACAAACAAAGCTGCTATGAACATAGTTGAGCACATGTCCTTGTGGCACGACTGAGCATCCTTTGTATATATACCCAAAAGTGGTATTACTGGGTCTTGAGGAAGGTTGTTTTCTAATTTTCTGAGAAATCGCCACACTGACATCCAAAGGGGCTGTACCAGCTTGTATTCCCACCAGCAATGCAGAAATGTTCCCTTTTCCCCACAATATCTCCAACATAAGTTGTCATCAGTGTTTTTGATCTTGGCCATTCTTACAGGTGTAAGATGGAATCTCAGAGTTGTTTTGCTTTGCATTTCTCTGATGACTAAGGATGCTGAACATTTCCTTAAGTGTCTTTCAGCCATTTTAGATTCCTCTGTTGAGAGTTCTCTGTTTAGGTCTGTACTCCATTTTTTTTATTAGATTATTTGATCTTTTAGTGTCCAATTTCTTGAGTTCTTTGTATATTTTGGAGATCAGACCTCTGTCTGATGTGGGGTTAGTGAAGATCTTTTCCCATTCTGTAGGCTGTCATTTTGTCTTGTTGACCGTGTCCTTTGCTTTACAGAAGCTTCTCAGTTTCAGGAGGTCCCATTTATTGTTTCTCTCATTGTCTGTGCTGCTGGGGTTCTATTTAGGAAGTGGTTCCCTGTGCCAATGCGTTCAAGTGTACTTCCCACTTTCTCTTCTGTAAGGTTCAGTGTGGCTGGCTTTATGTTGAGGTCTTTGATCCATTTGGACTTGAGTTTTGTGCATGGTGATAGATATGGGTCTATTTTCATTCTTCTACATGTTGATATCCAGTTATGCCAGCACCATTTGTTAAATATGCTTTCTTTTTTCCATTTGATATTTTTTGCTTCTTTATCAAAGATCAGGTGTTTGAAGATGTGTGGATTGATATCCGGATCTTCTATTCGGTTCCATTGGTTCTCCTGTCTGTTCTTATGCAAATACCAGGCTGTTTTCAGTACTATAGCTCTGCAGTAGAGTTTGAAGTCAGGGATTGTGATGCCTCCAGAAGTTCTTTTGTTGCACAGGATTGTTGTGGCTATCCTGGGTTTTTTTGCTTTTCCAAATGAAGTTAAGTACCATTCTTTCGAGGTCTTTGAAGAATTTTGCTGGGATTTTGATGGGCTTTCAACCAGATTTTTAACAAACCAACTATAAAATTTTTTTTTCAAAATTTATTTATTAATTATACAGTGTTCAGTCTGCATGCCAGAAGAGGGAACCATATCAAATTACAGATGGTTGTGAGCCACCATATGGTTGCTGGGAATTGAACTCAGGACCTCTGGAAGAGTAGCCAGTGCTCTTAACCTCTGAGCCACCTCTCCAGCCCCAGCCTGTAGCACTCAGTATTCCCAGGCAGTTTCCCATCCAAGTACTAACCAGGCCCGACCCTGCTTAGCTTCCAAGATCAGACAAGATCAGGCGCGTTCAGGGTGGTATGGCCGTAGACAAAATTTATTTTGATAATTGAAAAATTCTAGCTATGAAGATAATTAATAATAAGAAATGGTGCCCTTTTTATTTTTTAATAATTTATTTATTTAATTTTACATACATTGGTATTTTGCCTGCATGTATCTCTATGTGAGAGTGTCAGATCTTGGAGTTACAGACAGCTGTTAGCTACCATGTGAGTGCTGGGAATTGAACCTAAGTCCTCTGGAAGAACTGTCAGTGTTCTTGACCACTGAGCCATCTCTCCAGCCCCATGGTGCCCTTTTTAAAATCTGATAATGGCATTGGTTATGTATAAAGAATGTGCATGTTTTAGATGTATGCTGGAGTAGACACAGGTCTACTATGATTTTGCCAAAAGAAGAAGAAGAAGAAGAAGGGGGGGGGGAGAAAGAAAGAAAGAAAGAGAGAGAAGGGAGGAGGAGGAGGAGGAGGAGACCTTCAGAGGAAAGGGAAAGAAGGGTACATGGTGTAAATGTGGCAAGATCTTAATGGTGATAACTACTAAACATAACTGATGAAGGAACTGGGAGAGTAGCTCAGTGGTAGACTACTTGCCCAAGGCCCTAACACCATAAAAAGAAGCATATGGAGAAATGTTTGATATATTAAACAAGTTTTTTTGCAAGGCTGGAAAGATGACTCTGTGGGTAAAAGAGTCGCTGTGCAAGTGTGAGAAACACAGTTCAGTCTCTCACACCCATAGGAATGCAGGGGCTACTTGTAACCATGTCCCTAGGAGGCGGAGACAAGGAATCCCAAAATCAAGTTGGCTATAAAGACTTGCTAAATCATTTAGCAAGAGACCCTGCCTTAGTCTGTAAGGTAGGGGCAACCTAACAAGGCACCTCTGGCTTCTACAAACATGCATACATATACATTACAACACACATGTGCACCTCTACAAGCACATGCATGAGCATATAACACACACATACAAGCTTTGAGGGGACTAGGAAGATGGTTTCGTGGACAAGCATGAGGGTCTGAGTCCAAATCCCTAGCACTCACATAAAAGGGTGAGATGACCTATATGCACTCAAGATTGTAACCCCAGCACTGTCAGGGGTGAAGTCAGGAGGGCTGCTAGAGCTTGCTGGTCACCAGTCTAGAGATTCTGTCTCAACGGAATAAGATAGAGAGTGATACCTAATATTTAGGAAGAAAACAATGTCAACCTCTGATCTCCACAAGTATGCACAAATACACATGCATACATACAAACCTGTCATAAACCTGAACATACCACATACATACACATTTTCTTTTTAATTTTTGTTTTCTGGAGATAGGGTTTCTCATTGCAGCTCTGGCTATCCTGGAACTTGCTCTGTAGACCAGGCTAGCCTCAAATTCAAGAGATCTGCCTGCCTTTGCCTCCTGAGTGCTGGGATTAAAGGCGTGTGCCACCACTGCCTGGTTACATACAGCATTTTTTTTTTTTAAGGTTTTTTCAAGACCGGGTTTCTCTGTAGCTTCGGAGCCTGTCCTGGAACTAGTTCTTGTAGACCAGGCTGTCCTCGAACTCACAGAGATCTGCCTGCCTCTGCCTCCCAAGGGCAGGGATTAAAGGCGTGTGCCACCACCACCTAGCACACATAGCATTTTTTAAAAAGGTTTGTTTTGTTTTTGTTTTTACAACAGTACTCTGGGATATTTACTGTACCCCCTTTTTTTCAAATACAAAGTTTTGTTATATAGTCCTGGCTACCCTAGTACTTGCAACATTCTTGCCTTAGCCTCGCAAGTGCTAGGATTACAAGCACCCATAAATACACCCAGCTCTCATATACCTTTCTATATTAGCAATATGAATTAGCACGTGTACCCTGAACATTTTGCACATATTAACTCATTTAATTTTTTACTCATTGTCACATCTCCCAGTGTCAAGCCACCTTGCTCAGGTTTAATTACCTGGTACACTTGGTCTGTAGTGCTGTTCTTTTTAACTCTGACGGTGACTGCTGTTCCATCCGGTAAAGCGACTCTCAGCTCTACATCAGACACACCATTGTAATTCTAAAGGAAAAGAAAAAATTTGCAGCCCAGTAAATTTTCACTCCTTGCTACAATGCTAGCAAAACAATAATCTAATGTAAGAAACAGGAAATAATTCTATTAAAATGAAGAAAAATAAAGTCTTACAAGTTAATATATTTACAACTCATACAGCTAACTTTAGGTACAGAAGTTTAACTCATGTTCCCATTTCTTTCTTTTTTTTTTTTTATGTTCCCATTTCAAAACAGAATACTGTTGAGAAAGTCTAGATGGAGTCCATATGAGATTTTGGGTCACTCTTTGTCACTCTATTCAGAACCCACAGAGAGAAACAACAGACAGATGTGGGTGGTCTCAACACCTGTTGAGTAACTAGGCAGTAGATCTGCTTAAGGGATATGATGGTGTCCTTTCTGAACCTTGATATGATCAGACCATCTTCAAAAGGAAAAATGGATGAGATTTAGGGATCTAAATTAGTGGCATGCCCAATTTTCTAGCAAAGACTATACAATTCTTATTTTACTTAATTAAAAACAAGCAGAGTTGGGGATATAGCTCAGTTCGAGAATGCTTGCCTACAATGCTTAGGGTTCTAGCACCACACATACACACACATACAAAAAAAAAAAATCATGGCTTTTGATAATAACACATTTTTCTTTTTTGTATTTTTTTTAGATTAATTTTATGTGTATGGTGTTGCCTACATGTATGTATGTGCACCATGTGCATGCCCAGTGCTTACAGAGGTCAGGAAGAGCTTTGCATCCTCTGGAACTAGAGGACAGATTAGCTAGGAGCCACCATTCAGCTGTTGGTAACTGAAACCACGTTCTCTGCAAGATCAACAAAGGCTCCTAACTGCTAACCATTTCTCTAGCCTCAATATATTTTTCTAATACAGTTTGTCTCTCTGTTTTGTTTTTTTAAACAGTTTTACCTTGTAGCTCAGGCTCACCATGAACTCAAGGCCATCTTCCTGCCTTGGTCTCTAGAATGCTAGGATTATAGAATGAACCACCATTGCTAAGCTTCTAACAAATTTTTGATATGAAGAGGAAAAAAATGACAAGATCATATATATATATATATATATATATATATATATATGTTTATCTTTATTTTGTGTGCACTGGTGTTTTGCCATGGATATCCAGTCCCCTGGAACTGGAGTTACACAGTTACAAGCTGCCTGCCATGTGGGTGCTGGGAATTGAACTCTTCAGAAAGAGCAGTCAGTACTTTCAATTGCAAAGCCTTCTCTCCAGCCCGAAATTGTTTAATTTTTATTACTGAGAAATAACCACTTAGGAATAAGTGCATTTACATCGACCATTAAAAAAATTACTATTCTTTGTCTAAAAGTACACTAAACACTGCAACAGCTTCCTCCTTACCCACAGGGTTATGTTTCAAGATCCACAATGGAGGCCAGGAACTGTGGTTGGTATTGAAACCCACAATTATCATTCAATGTAGCTGTAACTTTTATAGCTTAAGGTGCTCCAGCAAACCAGCATAAATTTACTTTTTTTTCAGTTTAACTTTATTTTACGTACATTGGCATGAAGATGTCAGATCCCAGGGAACTGGAGTTACAGACAGTTGTGAGCTGAAATGTGGGTGCTGGGAATTGAACCCAGGTCCTCTGGAAGAGCAGCCAGTGTGCTCTTAACCACTTAGTCATCTCTCCAGCCCCAAATTTACTTTTTCTTGTCCATAATTTCATAGATAGAAGAGACAATCCTACTACAGACCTTGGCAATCTTATCAGGATTTTTTTTCTTACTGCTGTGAGCGAAGTACTCTATGGCTTCCCTTGGGTCTATGTGATTGCTAACCTTACTCTCAGGCATTGAGGGCATCATTAAGGATTATTTGAACATAGCAAGCACTGTGTGTGATACTAGAGCAGGCACTCTGATAACTGACCAGACTATTAGGAAGGTGGTATATGCGGAGTAGATATACTGGACAAGATCAATTAGGTCCCAAGTGGGAGAGCACAGATGACATAAAGCTTTATCACGGTACTCAGAATGCCACACAATTTGAAGCTTACAAAGTGTTTATTTCTGAAATATTGTATTTTATATTTTTAGACTATGGTTGACCTCAGATAAAGTAAAACCATGGACAAGGGGAGGATACTATTATTCTTTATACCCTTATTTTATAAGAAGCCTATAATCTAGTCAGAAAAACAAGATATGTACATATTAAATAACTGATGGACAATACATTAGTATTACATATTCATCCTTCTATCCCATTAACACTTATTAAGCACCTCCAACATGCGTGGTAAGGCACCGGGAATATAAAGATAATCAAGATTTAGCTCTTACCTACTGGTAGCTCACACACTCTTGTAAGCTAAAAATATAAAGTGACAAACTGATTATATGTATAAAAATTAGAAAATGAGATGGCAATAACATGATGACTGAGTGGTATTAACTGCAGAAGTTCTTGGCAGGATGAACAATTGATGACTTGTGTCATCAGAGGAAAAAGACTTCAAAGAGTAGGTGGACCCGGAAAATGGCAGACTAGAAACTGCCTCTGCAGAGCACAGTGAATGAGGAAAGTCAAAGTAACAAAGAACAGACTCCACTCCAAAGACAGACAGAGCAGCGCATGGGATGGAGCAAACAACTGAAAAGGACAGAGACCCAGCAGGGTGGTCGGGGAGGAGTGACTTTGATCTGCTGGAAAGGATTAGCAGTACAAAGTGAGGGAAGGTGGAAGAGGACATAAGCTCTAGGGAATGACATGGATTGAAGAAATAAAAAGCACTCCAGAGCTGTGAGAGGGTCAGTAGGTTTGCTCGGCTGATGAGGCACTTGCCAGCACACCTGATGACCTTGACGAGTTCGGTCCCCAAAACCCACATGACGGAAAGAAAGAACCAATTGTTCCCCAAGCTGTCCACCATGTTGTATGTCTACACTGCGTGTACAGGCATACACACACAATAAATAAACAAATGTTAAAAGTGTATTTCATAGGTTTTATAACATCATAAAGGAGAAAAGTACCAAAGTGCTGGAATAACAATGTATCAGACGGGTATGGATGAGATGGGGGGGGCAGATCACAATGTGCCTTGTGAGTGTCTTGTAGGAGTTCAAACTAAATCCTGAAAACTGTGGGAAAGTTTCAAACTTGGAACTAGCTAGTGGAGACCAGACTGGCCTCAAACTCACAGAGATTCACCTGTCTCTGCCTCCTAAGTGCTGGATTAAATGCGTGCACCACCACCTGGCTCAAGTTTCAAACTTTTAATTAGGAAAGTGGTGCAAAATACAACAGTCCTCTAGAAGTTTAGCTGTGAACAAAGAAAAACAGTTACTACAAAGAATAAAAGTTTGTTTTTTTTTCTTTAACATGAAAGATGAGCCAAGCTTTTATTCAGGGGCAGAGAAGCAGGACAGAGTGATGGAGGGGAGGGGAGAAGAGAAGAGAGGAGGGGAGAAAAGAGAGGAGCATTTTCTCACCGTAGCAGAATTATGGCAGTGAATTCTCAACTAGTTCTGCCACATATACCATTAAGACAGTTCCCCAACATAAGAGAGACCCTAAACCCAGTGCCTTGGGAACTTTGGGATCAGCAGACCACTATGTCACTTCTACATAATCTTACAGCATTCTAAAGAAAGCAAATCATCATATTTGATATTTGTTGATGCATCAGTGATGGAGGAGGGTTATCTGTCTATTGTGTTATTTTCATTGGTCAATAAAGAGACTGCCTTGGCCCCTTGATAGGACAGAAAATTAGGTAGGCGGAGCTAACAGAACAAAATGCTGGGAAGAGGGCTATGAGCCAGATGCCATGGAGCCAGCCACCAGGTCAGACATGCTGAATCTTTTCCAGTAAGCCACTACCTCATGGTGCTACCACGAGATTATTAGAAATGGGTTAATATCAAGATATGAGAGTTAGTCAGTAACTAACTCTCTAGAGATAATGGGTCAGGCAGTGCTTAAATGAATACAATTTGTTTGTTGTTATTTCTGGGACTAAGCTAGCCGTGCGGGAGCCGGGTGAGGCAAAAAGCAGGCCTGCCCGCAGCCCCTCACTACACATCAGTGTCCATCAAACAATGAAGAAATACAGAAAGAAACTTGTATCTCAAGAAGAAATAATTTACCAACAATGAGGTCTAGAATAACCACTGTGGCTGCCGTTTGTCATCAGATGAAAAATATTACCTTTACAATAACTTCAAAAACAGCAAACAAAGAGAGAAACAGACAAGTAGACATGCAGAGGAACAGTACAGTGAAAAGAAGCAAGTATCTTCTAGCTTCCAACAGAAGACTCACAGGAAAATGGGTAGAGCTGGAGACCATCCTGTTCAAAATCAACCAGACTCAGAAGACAAGCACTGCACACTTTCTCTCATAGTTTACATGTGTGCAGGACATGGACATAGAGGAAAGAGGAAGCGGATGAAAAGAGAATCATGCAGTGGGGAAAAAAGACTGTGTCACGTTTTTCTCTCATCTGCAGGCTCAAATGCATAAAAATAAATGAGAGACAAAGGCAGGAGGGGACAAGGGAACACAATGAGGGTGAACCTGGGTAGAATACAAAGGTGTGTGCAGGTGCATCTGCATATAGACATGTGTGTAATTGAAAACACCATGATGGAATTTATTATTTTATAGAATAACAAAAAAACAATTAAAACAAAAAGAAGAGAAGGTAAACCTGGCTCTAGGGTAGATATATATAAAAAGAAATGGAAGAAATACAGTTGTTTAGAGAGTCAATTGCAACTTACCCCACAAACAGTATCTACATTTTTGCCCACGAGGAGCTAAGCAGAAAATTATTAGTGCGGTGGCTGTTCACCTACCTCATCAGATTCTGACAGGAACTCCTGCATGATGTCGCTCTCACCAATGACTCGGATTGAACACACTGAAGAAAACAAAAACAGTATCTAGCATCAGGCCCTAAATCAAGAATATTAAAGAATATATCAAGGTTTACATTTAAGTTGTCAGAGCTAAGCATGGTCGCACACATCTACAATTCTAGTACTTGGGAGGCTGAAGCAAAAGGTTCACTGCAAGTTCAAGGTCAACTGAACCACAGCAAGACCTTGTATCAAAAAGTACACAGAAAATGTTTAAATCATCGGTAACAGGCAACTATAACCTAGTATATGCATCCTTACATATGCAACCCTAAGGCATGACAAGCAATTCACCTAAATGATATAGAACAGTACAATAAAAGGAAATATAAAGATGTACTTTGCTAAAAATGTTATATGCAAAAAAATATAGCACATTTAAATTTTAAGTCCTGTGGGATCAATTATCAAGTCAGAACATAGGGAAAAAAGGCAATGGAAGAAAGAAAAAGGTCAGCTAAGAATAAACCAAATATCAAATTGAAATGCAAAGGAAAACATTTATTTGTCCAGGAACAGCAAGTCAGAGAACATCTACCATCACTTTAGAAACGGGGCAGGTAAACCAAGGACTTGAGTGCAACGGAGCACCTAACTTCACCTACAAAGTGATCTAAGGAAGACAGACGGGCACACAGAGCAAGACAGCAGGGAGAAGTGAGAAGAAAGGTACCCACCACTGGAGGATGATGAATGAAGAAAGGTACCCACCACCCCAGGATGATAAACAACACTGAGGACTTTATGGCATGGTTTAAAGTACCCTATCTAACATGCCCATGGCGTGTTCAGGAAAACAGATGGGGATGTCCCACCACTTCAATGTGCGAAATAGCTCTTCAGGAATAAAGTTCACTGTCAGAGTTAATTTTGTCAGGGTGTTCTGTTTTGTTTTTATTTCAAACTGAATTAGGTCAGTTAGTCTTTACACATTATTCCTTTAAACTAATATTCTAAAGAATCCATTGCACAGTGTGGTAGTCTGAATGAGAATGGCCCCCACAGGCTCATGTGTTTGAATGCTTCATTCTCAGTTATTGGAACTGTTTGGTGGGAACTGGGCAAAGTGGCCTTGCTGGAGGAAGTGTAACACTGGGGATGGGCTTTGAGGTTTCGATAGCTTATGCCTCTCTTATGGATGAAATGTAAGCTCTCAACTATGGCTCTGGCTCCAGTGCCATGCCTGACTACCTGTTTGCCTGATAGTATGCTCCGGCCATGATGACGGCCATGACTTACCCTCTGAAACGGTAAGCAAACCCCCAATTCAATGCTTTCTTCTATAAGCTGTCTTGGTCTCGGTGTCTGCTCACAGCAGTATAACAGTGATTAAGACACACAGCTAGCAATAATAATCAGCTGTAATAAAACAGCCAGGCGAGTCTCTCCTCAAAACCTTGAGATTATCTTACTTAGATCTGTGTCATTTCTTCGCCTTTCTAGAAAAACAGATTCTAGTATCTACATCCACACTATCATTTCAAAGTTTCATTAATTCTACCTATAGGCTGCTGAGAACAAGGACACTTTAGATGGCTAACAGCTGAGTAAACCTTTACAGCTATGAAAGGAATTTTTATATACAACAGTGCTATGAGCCAAGAATCAATCATCAATGCAGTATAATATGTATTTATAGGTAAATATAACTCTTTAAATAAAAGTCCACCAAGAACTACCAAAACCATTCATTTTTCTGTTAGGAATTTCTCTGCAAGCTAGCAAAGCAGGGCACTATCACCATAGAGAACATTTTGGCCTGGCCTTCCGAGCCTAGGTCATTTACTACTTCTCATCTAAAACGTAACTTCCTTACACTGCTGGTTTTTATGAAACACAGGTATGTAATTCAGGGATCAGAAGCAAGCATAGTAAAGTTTACCCCCCCCCCCCTTCTGAAACAGGGTTTCACAGTGTAGCCCTGGCTGTCCTGGAACTCACTCTATAGACCAGGCTGGCCTTAAACTCACAGAGATCCACCTGCCTCTGCCTCCCGAGTGCTGGGATTAAAGGCCTGTGCTATCCCCTTCCCCTTCTAAACATTTTAAAAACTTACATTTATTTATTTGGGTGGGGCACACACCTACCACTGCAAAGGAGTGACGGTCAGAGGAGGATGACCTGTATGAACTGGTTTTCTCCTTCTACCACATGGGTCTTAGAGACTGAAGTCAGGTCATTAGATTTGATGACAAGTGCCCTTACCTACCAAGAAGTCAAGTCTGGCTTACCCTTTTCTAGATATTCTTCCAGTCCCCGACGCCGGGCATCTAGCTGCTGTTCTGACAATGAGAACGGCCACTTTCCTGGAAGTCGAGGAAATGTAAAGTTGGCAAATTCTCTTTTCAGGTTTTGGTGCAGGATGGCAAATTCCCGGTACCGCTTAGAACACAGCTGCCGCCCTGCCATGTAAACGTTGTACACCTGTGAGACAGAACAACAAAGGCACCGTCATCTAAAGTCACATGGGCTCCAGGCAATGTCATCACATTTTCAGGCTAGGTGGCCCTTACCTGCTTAGCCATCTCACCAACCATGGTCCTTTCTGTTTTATTTCTTCTCTCACAGATGGCATTTGGGTTGTTTGGAAGTTTAATTAGGAATGTGAACAATACTGCTATGTCTATATACAAGTCTCCTGTTGTACACACAGAAATGGGAACTGAACCAAGTTTTCAAAGATATGGGCATTTAACCTCAGGAGACAGTGTCCAACTAAGCCACAGGATTTTTAACAATTTACACACCTTTCCTTAGCATCTAAGAAAAAAATCCTTTTAAGGGCTGGGAAGGAAGTATAATTTGTAGAATGCTTGCTGAATGCAGGAATCCTGAGTTCCTAGTAGGAGGAGCCCAGCACCAGAGAAACCAGGCATTGTGGAACATAATATATAATCCCAATACTCAGGAGGTATAGACAGAAGTTCAGGGTCACCCTCAGCTATACAGCAAATTCAAAAATATGATATGCAAAAAGAAATGTATTTCTGCCAATGGAAAGAATATGAAAAAACTTCAGAATGATCCTAATTTATTTTTCTCCAAGTTACTAGCCAGGACAGTCTGTCAACATGACACACAAGTATATCACTTACTAAGGCCTTTCTTCATCATTTCCAAAATCTCATATTAATATCAGCATAGCAATCTGAAACATTCCAACTTTTCAAAGTTCACAGTTGGCCAGGCACACCTTTCTCTCAGCACTCAGAAGCCAGAGGCAGCCTGGTCTACAGAGGGAGTTCCAGGACAGCCAGGGCTACACAGAGAAGCCCTGTCTCAGGAATAAAACATAAAAAAGTACTACAGTCTTTAAGAATTCAGTCTCTTTAAAACATCCAAAGTGTTTTTCAACATTTGAAACATCTCTATGTTGAACATTTCTTCCTATATTTATTGTTAGAGGATCCTTTTTTGGTAAAATACCAGTTTTGTGGCTCACCTACTGTTACCTTAAATTTGTGTGCATTTCTCATGGATTGGTAGGACTCCTGGAGCCCTTTACTTTGAGATGTTTGTTTGCTTCACTATGTTGCCCAGTTGGCCCCAAACTCCTGAGCTCAAGTGATTCTCCTGCTAGCGCCAAAGGAACAAGCCACCACTCCAAGCTCTGGATGGTTTTTCCACTGGGATTTTTGTTGGGTTGTTTTTGAGACAAGGACTCAATGTGTAGCACAGGCTTAACTCAAATTTGAGATTCTCTAGCTTCTGCCTCCCAAATGCAATCTGATTACAGGTGTGCTCTACCGTGTCCAGCTTGTGTTGTTCTTGCCGATCCTTTTCACTTGTGCAGTATGACTATTTTCTCCCATTTTTCATAATTTTTGAATAATAAAAGCTCTTAATTGTATTTATTTGTTTGGTTTTGGTTTTTGGGTGTCTTTGTTTTGTGATAGTCTCCCTATGTAGCTAGCTGAAGCTGGCTCTCAACTCCTGATCCTACTGTTTCTACTTCTCTGGGCTAGGCCACCAGACTTGGTCCAGACAGCAACCCTTTCTTTCTTGCTATCAGTTCCACCAACAACAGCAAAAAACTCTGAAGTCTAAGAGTATAGTTTATTACTCTTCTTCATAGAGAACACTTTTGTGCCTAAACAAACTTTTTTCTACCCACAGATTCAAACCTTAAGTACAGTGTGGTAATGTATGCACTCAAGAAACAGAGGCAGGGGGATCACTGCAAATTCAATCAAGGCCACCCTGGTCTACACAGCAAATTCATGGCCATTCTGGTCTAACATCAGGCAAGTCCAGTTCAAGGCCAATCTGCTCTACAGGGCAAGAGCAAAGTCAGTCTGGTCTACACAGCAAGGTCAAGACCAGTCAGGAATGCTAGTAAGAACCCATATTTACAAAATAGGGGAAAGATCTAAAAACTATTTGCCAATATTTACTACTAAGAACTTGTAATTTTTTCTATAATATGGAGTTCTACTGGCAATTTTTTCTCATTGTCTTCTTTCTTAACTTTTGATATTTCTTTTGAAGTCAGAAATATTTAAATTAATTTTTACTGTTTTCCCTAAATATAAATATAAGCCGCCCAAACTGGATGTCCTTAGGTGGTCTGTATCAACTTCTTACTATAAATAGTAGAAAGCTGGACATAAGACAGGAAGCAACTCTTTCCCAGTCATGGACAACAGGCAGCAAGACTGTGACCCTGAATAAAGGAAAGCAGTAAGATGAGCACTGCAGCCCCGGCTCCCTGCCTGGGTAACTTCTAAAGGCTCGAGGAGGTCACGTGAACAAAGTGCACAGAGGCCCAAGTAGCTCAGTTGGTCAGGCTAAGCACACAAGAAGGTGGTAAAAGCACGCAGGATCCAGAAATCCCCTCCAGGTCACTTGAATTCTGATTGAATAGCAATCCAAGGGAAAAACTCTCACCTAGGGAGCTGTAAATGAACAACTCTGAGTTCACACTGGGTTTAGAAGAACTCAACTTTCTTCCAACCAGAAAAAAACAGAATTCCCTGAATTTTTTGGCATTTAGAAGCCAGCTCAAAAGGCCTATTCTAGGAAGGAGACTAAACTGGCTCTAGACTAAGATCTCCTCTAGCTAGGGATATTCTCACGCATCCCACACTCGTCCAGCATGCTCTAGGACCTCAGGTCAATCCTTAACACTTACTTTATAATTTTTAATGTTTTTAAAAAAGCTATACAATGCCAGGTATGTTAGTGTGTGCCTTTAATCCCAGCACTCGGGAGGCAGAGGCAGGTGCATCTCCGAGTCTGAAGCCAGCTTGGTCTACAGAGCAAGCTCCAGGACAACTACGGCTACAAAACACAGTGAATCCCTGTCTTACAAAACACAGTGAATCCCTGTCTTGGGGGTGCAGTGGGTGGGAATCTGACAAAATCTAGTGTCTAATAGCATTAAATTCAGTATCTAGTATCCAACAAAAAAATTTAACAGACATATAAAGAAGCATGAAAATTTTATAGACAGCCAGAAGGAAGGGCCTCGGGAGAGACAGAAACAAGAATGCAGTAGGCAGGAACTGTTACACATGGCTTTAGTTTCTATTTGGGATTTAGGAAGCGCTATGAAAACTTTCACCACTTGAGGTAGAAGAGCACCGAGGTCTGACAGACCAAATCAAAAGCTGAAAATGAGCATAGAAAAGAAACCAGTTGGCAGAGAGAGACTGGAAATACTGCAGTGTCTGAAGGTGGAGTTTAAGGTATCAATCAGACGTGTGGTGCACTAAGTCTCCAGAACGCCAACAGTATACCATAAAAGTCACCCTTGAGCAGCGACCCTGGTCAGGTATTAACCTCTCCGCTCCAGCCTGCACCCCTTCTTCAAAGTGTACCATCTCTAAATAAATCCACATCTCTGTCCAGCTCTTCACCCTACCAAACAAGCGTCTGGTACCTCTCTGGAGGTTCACTGAATGCCGACATACCACACTGGCACAATACATCCCATTGACTTGCAAACCTTTTCCATAGGTCTCTAACAACAAAAACTGGGTGCACTGTAGGAGACTAAAGAGAGTTTCACCTGGTGGCTCAAGCATACAAGAGGTGATTTAGCAATGGTTGAGTCAGACACAATGTCCACCCACTACCCAGTTCCTTTTTGTCTCCTAAGAAAAGATAGCAGCAAATCTCGTGATGCAGAGGGCATGGGCAAAGACTTTGAAAAAGTAAGAGAGTCACTCCCTATTCTTGGGGGTAAAGGAAAGCCAGCCCTCGTTCCTACCGTGACATTACCAAGAGGTCTGATGAAGGGAAAACACTGCAGAGTTGGTTTGACTTCAAAAAGGAGAAAAGGCAGAAGAATTAAAAAACCAGAGACAAAGACTAACCTAAAACAAAAGGTAGACCAAACAATATCTACCTCTGCCATGACAGAGAGCAGGTGAACAGGGTCTGCTGAGATGGTCCAGTGGTAAAGGTACTTGCAAAAACCTAACAGTCTGAGATACTGCCTCAACATCGACATGGTGGGAACTCTTGAGACATCCTCTGACCCCCATAGACACCTACAGCAAATAAATAAACCAACAAACAAATGCAAAGAGAGAACTTGCCTGTTGTACAGACACTCAGGGGTAGCTGAAAGCTCAGAAGATGGAAGAACACTGAGAACCCCTGAATGCCTTCCCCAGCAGCCAAACACCAGAAACAGCAGCCATTCAAGAGGAGTTGCAGCCAGTCAATAAGGTAAGGATAGCTCCAACAAAGCCCAAACCCAGTTGACTATTTGCTCAGCTCCTTAACAGAAAAGGCCCAGCCACTTCGAGGTTCAAATATTGATTTCAGTGCTGACAGTTTTCCCACACATGATGGTTTGGAGTCAAATACTAAAAAACAGCAGCGAAGCTGAGTATCCCTTCCCCTTCCCCTTACTTAAGAGATAATGTATCTACACAAGAACACAGATGCTGTGGTGTCTTGAGTAAGAATGGTACCACAGGCTCAAATATTCAAATGATTAGTCATTAGGGACTGGCACTACTTGAGAAGGACTAAGGTGTGGCCTTGTTAGAGGTTTCAAACGCCCAAGCAGGCCCAGTGGCTCTCTTTCTTCTTGTGGATCTAGAGGCAGAACTCTCAGGTACTTCTCCAGCATCATGCCTGCCAGCATGCCACCATGCTACTCAACATGACAATGGTTTCTCTGTAGCTTTGGAGCCTGTCCTGGAACTAGCTCTTGTAGACCAGGCTGGCTTGAACTCACAGAGATCTGCCTGCCTCTGCCTTACGAGTGCTGGGATTAAAGGCGTGCACCACCACCGCCCAGCTCATTTTTTAATTTTACAGAAGACCACAGCTAAGAGATTTAGGAATTTTACTGAGATTGTGGTTATTTTAGAGAGACTATGGATATTTCAGAGAAACAAATTTTTGTTGTTGTTGCTTTGATTTCTCGAGACAGGTTTTTCTGTGTAGACCAGGCTGTCCTCAAACTC